TTGTCGTGGTCTGTGCTGTGGTCTTTGTCATCATCTGTGTTGTCATCTTTGTCATTTCCATCGTCTTTCCCATTGTCTTTGTCATCATCTCTCCCGTTGTCTTTGCCCCTGTTTCTGTTACTGTCATCCCCCCCTCCGTAGTTGTTTCTCCATATTTTGTGGCATTTGTAGTTATAGGACTTGTAGTTATAGAACTTATATTTACAGGACTTACAGTTATAGGAGGTATACTTATAGGACCTGCGATTGTACTCCTTGAGTCACTTGCACAGAGAAGATGATTAAGCTCTATGCCATTCAGAACACAGCATAATTTATCATGTTTGCATATCTTACTATGAGTTTTTACTAGTAATTCTCCACTTTTGCACTGGCTCCTGCAAAGTCCACTTCTGTGTGCACACTTTTTCATAAACCAGTTACCTGTATAAAGGAATTATATAGAGCATGTAAGTCAGAAATCTATCATCTTTGCAGGATGAAAGGTAAAAAGAGCAATAATTTCTTGAACACTGATTATTCACATCCCTTACCAGTTGCTTTGTTAAATTTTTCCTAGTCATGAAGACCTGCTATGTGTATTAAATGAGATTTTAAATGAGATTTTATACATATATACACATAGATTATTTTTATATATGTAATAGTATGACCTTTTCTGAAACTAAAATTCTGCATATTAATACATGGCAGGTGTCTGTTTTCCATTTTAAATGGAAAAAATATATAACATATGATTACTTATGAATTTAAAGCCCCCAATCAATTTAAGAAAATGTAACCAAGACACACCAAAATAGAAGTTTAAAAACTGAAAATTTAAAATATAAAAATTTCAAATTATTATTGAAATGCTTACCACTGTTACTCAACACACATGTCTTTTGTTTATGCCTGGTGAGATTTTTAAAATGTGTTTATTTGTTCCTGAAGTCCTACAAACTATATTTGAAATGTATCTCTAGATTTGTCTTATATGTTATCTTACTAAATATAAAATATACATTTTTCATATATATCTATATAAATATATATAGCTATAACTATGTATTATTGAGGTATAAATATATTCTACAAAATTTTGGAATAAAAAAGCAAAAGTCAGTCTACTAGTTATATATTAATTAGGGAGCCATTCTGTAGAATATGGCTATATGTGTGTATATATTATATACATACCAGAGGCCTTATGCATCAGATGGTGGTCTCTCAGTCCAGCCTGTGCCCAATCATAATGTGGGGCCCCTTGGGGGATGTCTGCAAGCCTTCATAGGCCTTATTCCCTAAGGCCTAAGCCAGCAGTCAGACATCCCTCTTGCAGTCTGGGGCTCTCGCAGTCCCGGACCCCTCTCTCCTTAGTGCCACCATTGTGGCAGCACTTGCCAGCTGTGAGCCTGGCTTTGGGTAAGCGGCGCTCTCACTGAATACCAGGGAGCAGCTCCTGCATTGAGCTTCTGCCTCCTGGAGGTCAGTACAAATCATAGCGAGCGGTCATTCTGGTTGTTCTGCCATGATGGTTGCTTAGGCTATTGTTATAGAGATATACTACTAAATGCTCTCATAACCTGGTACATAACATACAGAAGGCCCTGAAGAGATGCTGAAACTCTATCTCACCTTGCTCTACATTGCTTAACTCATTCCTCTACATTCAACCAGCAAATATATAGTGAGTGCCTAATATGTCAAGAACGCTGCAGGATGATGAGAATAAATAATGAATAGAAAGACAAGGTCTGAGAAGCTTATATTGAAGAAGGGAAGAAGGAAAGGAAACAATTAAATGAATAACAGTAACTACAGTTTGTGCAACAAATTGAAAAAATAATGTAACATAGCAGAAAATAATCATTTTTGAGTCCTGACTATTACCAATACTATTATTTCTTGTCAACTGCTTAATCCTCTCTGAAGATTAAATGAGATTTTGCATACATAGCATTTATATACATTCATTTACTAAAATAGATTTCTAGGTCTATGTATGGGCCTCTCACTACTATTACCAGAATTCTGTGTGGGGGTCATTGAGGAAAGTATCTCTCAGGAAAATGATGCTCAACCCTAGACATAAAGGATGAAAGGGTCTATCTATGTGACAATCTAGAAAAGTGTTTAAAGAAGAAGGAATAATATTAAAAAGGCCATGAGCAGGGGAAGACTCATACTTTTGAGGGACAGAAAGATTTTTTGACTTCTTTGTTTCATGATTTTTCTTACTCTATTTCCTTCTTTTCTTCTTTTGTATCTGCAAGGGTTTTCCATAATGGTCCTTAGGCTTCAAATTACTCTGAACTTTCTCCACAGTCCCCTTCTTCCTCAGAATCCCAAATATATCCATAAAGATAACAACATTCAAATGTTTTTCTTCTTGGAGTGATCTATGTGAATGAAAACCACAGATCAATGTTTTCTTCTTTCTATCCTGATCTTCTGTGGTCAATGGCATTTATTGATTTTTTCCCCCCAATGTCCTTTCTAAAGCCTCAAGATCTTGGGTTAGAATTAATTAATCTTACAGAATAATCCTGAATTGCTTATGTTTATATAGAAAGAAAAACTATGGGGTTTTCTCAGGTTCTTTGGTTTAGAAAGGGGACATCATGTAAGTAAGTATGTGATGTATGTCATTAAAGTCCTAGAGACAGAGTGAGAAATCATGCAGTCTAAACGCATAGAATTTCAAGGATGGAGTAGATCTGAAACAATTTCTGAGACAACACTCATATTGTTATTAATTTTCTCTTGAACAGTTCTGCAAATTCTAGAGAACATTCAGTACTATCCATAGTCAGCTATAGAGATATTTTTTAGTTTCCATTAAGAAATTGTACCTCAAAAAAGATTGATTCTCACTGTGTGCCATTTATAAAACATGAGATTGTGTCAATTTAAAAAATAATTATTAAACCTATAAAAAAATTTCAATAAGCTGAAGTTAATTAAAATTAGTTATTATTTATTCAAGAGAAATTGACAAAAGTGGCAATTAAAAGTTATATAAGTAGAGAAATAGGTTTTGAAAATATTGATGAATATGTTTTTATTGAAGCTAGGAAAGTAAAATTATAAATAAACTATTTAAAGTTAAAAAGAAAACAAAGAATTCTGTAAGTGTGGTGAGTAAACTGTTAGCATGCAGAACTTCCTAAATTAGTGGAAGACTGCAAACAAAATACCAGTATATTTGCCACATGAAAATTAAATTTTTGTGCCTCAAATAAATTAATGCACTTTTAGAAGTAACCTATATATTAGAAAATATTTGCAAGAAATGTAAAATAGAAAGTTTAAAAACAGTAACAAAATAGTATCACTTGGCTATATATGCTACTTTTCTTTATCACCTTTTGACTAACTTCTAAAATTTACCTATATAAGCAGAGGATCTTACAATGATATATTAATAAGGTTGTACAATGTTATTTATAATAGTGACACACTGTAAAAAACAATATGAATAACACACAGTAAGGGCCTCTTCAAATTAATATTGGTACAAAAATGTGACAAAATAATAAGCATCTACTGTACATTGTATATTTAAGGAATACTCAAGGACTTGGGAAATTTCCCCTATATATTCTTAAGTTTAAAAATGCAGATTACAACATGTTTATCAGTTTGTCACACTTTTTAAAATGTAAGCATTTACATGAAATGATGGCCAATTTCTTTATTTCTTAAATGCTTTCAGTGTTCCTGTCTTAATTGTGTAAATAGAAACTATGGAATTAATTAACAAGAAGGAATGCTTATAGAAGCAGAGCTGAAATCTGACACAGGACTTCCAAGAGGCTTGACTCCCCCCACCTCTTCACTCAGAATATTTTTCTTTCCTTTTCCAACTTAAGGTTCTATTAATTACATCCAAGAATTTAACAAATGGGAAATGTTCTCTGTAAGACCAAAAAACTGGGAGAAGTAATATTTTAGAATTGTTACCATATAAAGTGAAGCCAGGCAGGGCTGGACTGCACTGGCTCTAAGTGATAGCACAGGGAAGTTTGGGGTGTCATGATCATGTCAGTCCTTGGCTTCTCATTATTCTCCCTCACCTCCAGTTATGAACATTGTGAGAGCCTTGAGGTCTCTTAGTAGTGTTTTGAAGAAGTAAGGCAAACCTCAGCCCCGCTCCTGTGGTAGCCCTGCCCCTACTCCCATAGCCAGTTTTGGAAACAGGGACTCCATGTGCAGGACTCTGTCCTAAGTTGGTGTTTCTTCTTCCCCAATATTCTATTTACCTGAGACCAACTGGGCCAGGAGCAAAAAAATTGCAAGAGCCAGTAATAGGTTCTTCATGACTCCTGAAAGATAGTAGGCAGGCAGTGGGTTCTATGGAGTCCAGAACTGTCTATTCAGTGTGACTGAACATGGGTCTTTATTGTCCTCCCTAGGTAGGGTTGGGCTCAGCCAGTGAACCAGAAGGACATAAGACACTGTGCCAAACATGACTTCAGTCCATTGGCCAGCTCTAATTGGGGCATCACTATTCAAGAGCCTTGTTCTGGCATGCCTTGGGGGAAAGAGAAAGATAAGAGAAGGTGTAAGACCAGCTGAAGTGTATGACAATTTAGAGAGAAAGACACAAGAGGAATTTTTTTTTCCTGCCAGTTTTCACACAGAACTTTATTGAAAACACAGACTCAAATAGAGAACCACATGTTTAAACAACAAACAACAGGGTAGCTTACGCAGGCAACTCAGTTCATTGGAAGCTCAATACTGAAAAATACTGCAATCTGGACAGCAAGACAATTATCAACAAATATGTTTTCATCTCTAATATTCATTTGGCATCCACAAAATGATCCAGCTCAAGCCAAGAACTGCACAAAGTTAACAACAGCATTAAAAATATAAGTTACAACACAAAACCGAACGGTGAAAACCAAAGCACTACTCAGGGCTCTTTGGGAACACAAGGCTGATGAGACAGGTGGTTAATTATATTAGTCTGGTTGTCCTCCATCAGGATCCTTTTGATTGTCTATTTGGGTTTATAGTGCCTTAGCTAACTTCTCAAATTGTCGATATGCAGTCAGAAATGGCGCAGGACTAAAATCATCAACAATTAAGGCTATTGTCCCATTTCTTATAATAGTATTGATATTACAAAACATTTTAATAACAATTTGAATATTTTCATATGCTTCTTGTAAGGTAAAGAGACCCACAAATACCGATAGAGCTTTGGTACTGAATAGCGTTTTTGCCACCATAGGATTTTCAGACATGTTCAACAGCATTTTCAGAACAAAAAACCTGGTTGTTACATCTCCTGTGACTAACAGGGAAAGAAACTCAGACATAAAATTGGCAACCAGTGTGTGATAGGCAGTAGTCATAGTGAGGTGTCTAAGCAGCCTTAATCCAAGCAGTTGCTCAGTGGAATCCAAGCCTTGTGCTAAGGTTTCCTCACACACTTGATATATGAATGTCTCAATCATGTTTAGATGTGGATAAGGCGGAGCCATAAGAATCATATTTTCCAAAACTCTTGTCCTAACTCGGGAGGTGGGATAATCAAGCAAGGTTTCAATAAGTGAGACAACACCTGAATCCCAAATGAAATCTCGGGTAAACTGAGAAGCAATTCTCATACCCATTGCAGTCTTATATATTTTCTGAATAAAAGGATCACGAACCTTTTCCATTAACAGGAGGAGTTCCTCAAACTCTCCAGAACCAATTTTAAGTTCACATTGTATGCAGCTACAAGACCAAGTCTCAGGCTCCAGCACTCTCCCTGGCCTTAAGATGCTCTCTAATTTCCGTGACTGACCGGTAGGAGGATTCACACTTTATTGTGAGCTGCTTGGCCTGAGGGGAAGATTCCTCATCTTCCCCTTCCGCATTATTGGGTTTTCCCTCAAACAGTTCAATGAATGCAGAGGATGCTTCTCCAGAAATTTTAAAGGAGCTTGGGGATGGGAAGCCAATCCTATAAGGGCCAGGTTTGTATTCAACAGTGACCTCTTCCCAGGTTCGAGGCCTGGATGCTGTATTAATTTCCTCTTTAGCGAAATCTCTGAACCTGGAACTAACCCTGTACACAGGATTAGGATTTAGATCAAAGCAAGGCTCATCCTTATCCCAGAACCAGGACCCAAATATGGCCTCTTCTTCAGACTCCTGCCTCGTCTCCTCTCTGGCCACAGCCCCCAAACTGGACTTCTCCTCCATCCAGAACAAGGATCCACCAATGACCCCCTCCTCATCCCCTGGCATGGACTCACAGATGGCTGAAGCCCCAGCCTCCACATCAGCCTCTTTCTCTGCCCAGAACCAGGACCCAATGATGACATCCTCCTCAAACTTGGGCTCATGCTTGACCCTATTACTGTTATCATCTTTCTGGGCCCTGGGCTTCAAGACAGTATCAGGCTCCTCCCTGTCTCTGGACCTGAATCTACTAATCATCTCCTCAGGCAAAAACCGACTCATTATAGTACTCATCTTCAGACTCAGATTCAAAATAGTCCTCTTTCTTTGTCCTGAGTTTGGACCTAGCATTTGCCTCATCCCGGACTCTGGGTCTGAACAAGTTATTGGTATTTTCTCCAGGCCACAAGCAGAATGGGTTGCCAGACTCCTCCTCAGACCCAGACCAGGAATCAATATAGGGTCCTGGCTTGGATCTGGGCCTAGACTGATGTTTAGCCCTGTGCCTGGACCTGGGCTCTTCCCTGGGCCATGATCTGATACTGGATTCTTCTACAGCCCAGAGAGAAGACATTGTAGAGGTCTCATCAGCTGACCAGAATCCAGATTCATTAGACACTTCCTCTCTGGCCCTGGGCCTGGGATAGCACCAAGACCCCATATTAGTTTCCTCCCCTGATCCAAACCAGGGTTGAATTCCTGACTGACCCTGGAAACCAGGAAAGGTCTCAGGGTCCATATTTAACAGTTCCCTGTCTACAGATAGGGCTATGGGTTTAGGAACTGATCCAGACTCAGTACTGACCAGTGGCCAGGCTGCTGTATTGGTGAGGGGCATGCCCTCTATTTGGGACATTACTTCAGCTCCAAATTCAGCCTCGGCCCAAGCTTGGGCTTCATCCTTGGGCCTTGCCCCAGGGATTGCCTTGGCCTCAGTTTTAGGATGTGCCCCACCTACTGCCCTGGCTTCAGTTTTGCGTCTTGCCCCAGACATTGCTTGGGACTCAGTTTTGGGCCTTGCCCCAGGCATTGCCTGGGTCTGGGCCCTAACCTTGGTTCTGACCACCATCTGGACATCATTCTCTCTCTCAGCTCCACCCCCAATCTCTTTTCCAGCCTTCTTTTCAGGCTTGGCCTGGGCACTTGGTTCAATCTCAGCCCCAGTCATAGTACCCGTTACAGAAAAGACACAGTTAAAATATGAGTAGCACAGTCTCAGCCTCTACCACAGACGTATCTTCACACTCTGATTCTTCAGTGATTCAGACGATACAGTCAGAAATAAGAGTTAGAGTTAATCACCAGTCCAGTAGTCAATAAGCCTCTTTCCCAAGACCGGCCACAGCCAATATTACAGACGGGATGCAGAAGAGGCACAACCAAGCTGGGGGAGAAGAGATGGTTCCCAGGTGAGTGCGGATCTGTTGAGGGTGGAGGTCAGCAGCAACTCCAATGCCACCAGAGCTGCCACTAACGGTGAATCTGCTCTGATGTGGTGCAATATCCCCCTCCTTGCTCTGTTCCAGTGGTATTCAGTTATACAGCAGACAGCAGGCTGTCCTGCAGAGAACTGAGCCAATCTCTTCCTCTTTTCCTTCCTTGCAGAAAGTGACCAGCCTTAAAGCAAGCCGAAATCGGGCCTCGGAAGGGATGGAGAGATAGATGCCAATCGCTTTCCCCAGCAGTTTCCCCACCACGCGCTGGAGATGATGGGGCGGGGGAGCAGCCGAGGGGCCCGTCACATGAATGTTCACAAGAGGAATTTTTGTTGATTTCCGCAATGCTGGATATGCCTACTTTTTTCCCATGGTCTCCTATGTTGGTGGTTCTACCAGAGTATTTATCTCATTGCATTGTGACAGTCTGTTCACCTGTATGTCTCTCCCCCTAAAGTAAAATGTATTTTTTGAGCACTGACTACATGTACGTTTTTTTTTTTAATATTAGTTCTGGGCATGGAGGAGTACCTAAGCAATTTTTTGGTGATTGAAAAATTTCCTTGGTGATAATCTGTCAACTTAGAAAATATTTTTAAGGAAATAAGTCAATGCTCCAAGATATATGTACAAAGATGTCTTTAGGGGAATGGGGGAAGTAACAAGAGTTACTGGTGTTAGCTGGGCCTGGAACCATGGATCTGTGTGAACTTCTGAGCTACCAGATGGTGGTGGAGTAGGTGGATCTTTCTTGCACCTCTTCCAAACTGGATATACAACTAAACTGGGGAGCATTCACCCTGAATTACCACCTGAATTCTAAATGAATAGGAACCTTTTGACAAGGAAGGGCAGAAATCCACCTCCTGCACAAGACTGCTCCTGCACAACAACATGTATGACATGGTCAGGATTGTTCCTTCCTGCCATACAATGTGGGTTGTGGGGTGATCCCACCCACAAACAGGACAATAACAGTCAAGACCCAGTTACACTAGGAGATTCCAAATAACTCACACAGCGGGCATTTCTAGAGCATCCAGCTCAGGAGATCAGAGACTGCACCCGTGGGTCCCACGGGGCACTTACTACATAAGGTCACTCTATGAAGACTGGGAGGCATAGCGATTCTAATATGTAGAAACAGACACAGAGGGACAGCAAAATAGGGAGACAAAGAGGCAACCCTCAAATGAAGGAAAAGGAGAAAGCTCTAGAAAAAGAGCTGAATGAAAGGGAGGCAGTCAATTTATGAGACATAGAGTTCAAAGTAATGGTATAAGGATGCTCAAGGAATTTAATGGAAATTACAATATCATGGAAAAGGAAATAGGAAATAGAAACCATGAACTAGAACTAGTTGGAAAAGAAGAATACCATATCTGACTTCAAAAATACACTGGGAGGAGTCAGAGAAAGACAAGTATCACATGATCGCACTCATATATGGAACCTAATGAACACAATTAAGTGGTGAATGAAATCAACCCAGAGATATAGAGGCGTAGAATAGATTATGGAATCTCAGAGGAAAGGCGGGAAGAGCGGGTCAATGGGAAGGGACCCAGCAAAGAAAAAAAAAATATATATATATGTATATGGCCCATGGATACAGACAATAGGGTGTTGAAGGCCTTGGGTGGAGATGGGAATCAAAAGGGTCAATGGGGGAAAAGTGGAACATATGTAATACTTTCAGCAATAAAGACTTAATAAAAAGAAAAAGAATATACTGGAAGGAATAAAAAGTATATCTAATTTAGCAGAGGATCAAATCTGTGATTTGGATGACAAGATAAAAAAAAAACCTCCCAGTTAGTGCATTAAAAAGAAAAAGGAATTAAAAAGAAGGAAGTTAACTATATCAATTAATACTTAACAAAGGAAGCAAGAACATACAATGTAGTCAAGTCAGTTTCTTCAATAAACAGTATTGGGAAAATTGGACAGATAGATGCAAAAAATGAATCTAGACCAACAACTTATACCATACCCAAAAAGAAACTCAAAATGGATAGAGGACTTAAATGTAAGATGGAAACCATAAAAATATTGGATAAATCCACAGGCAGCAAAATCTCAGACATATGCCAAAGCAATTTCTTCATTGATAATGCTCCTAGGGCAATGGAAACCAAAGAGAAAATAAACAAATGGATTACATCAAAATAAAGAGCTTCTGCACAGCAAAAGAAACCATCAACAAAACAAGAAAGCCCACTGTATGAGAGAACATTTACTGGGAACTCATACAACTTAACAAAAGGAAGCTAAACAACCCAATAAAAAATGGGCAACTTACATTAAATAGATACTTTTCAAAAGAGAACATAAGGAAGGCCAAGAGGCATGAAATCATGCTCAAAGTCCCTTATCATCCGGGAGATGCAAATCAAAATGACAATAAGGTACCGTCTTACACATGTCAGGATGGCTATTATCAACAAATAACAAGTGCTGGCAAGGATGTGGAGGAAAAGGAACCATCATGCATTGCTGATGGGGTGCAGTCACTGAGGAGAACGGTATGGAGTTTCCACAAAAAACTAAAAATGGAGCTTCCATTTGACCCAGTGATCACCTTTCTAGAAATATATCCCCATAAACTAGAAACACCAGTCAGAAAGGATATATGCACCGCTGTTATGCTATGAGAAGTGTTCTAACAGGGAGGCAGCCCCAGTGGGAATTGTGCCCTTCTGCTGAGCTTCTGAAAAAGTTGGGTAAGGGCTGATCCGCAGGTAGAAGGTAAGATACTCTGAGAGGAGACAAAGAAAGAATTTTAGAACCCTAAAATACTAGAATCGGAGAATAGATTTTGGTATCAAACAGACTGCATTTGAGTGTCGGCACTTGGTAGCTGTTGATCTTAAGTGAGGTAAATTGTCTGAGCCTCCTCTGAGGAAACAAAGATCATCACGGTACCTGCTGGGGTAACTTATGTACATTACTTAGTCCCTGACACAGAGTTGGTGATGAATAATTATTAACTGTTATGTACCAGATGGTAGTGGAGTAGTTGGATCTTTCTTGCACCTTGTAAATATCTGTGTTTTCCAATGGTCTTAGGCTCTATAGTCGTGATTCTCAACCTGTAGTTCATGACCCACAGGTTGAGAACTGCTAGCAGGGTTGCCTAAGACCATCAGAAAACACAGATATTTACATTATGATTCATAACGGTAGCAAAATTACAGTTATGAAGTAAGCAACGAAAATAATTTTGTGGTTGGGGGTCACCACAACATAGGGAGCTGTATTAAAGGGTCAAGGCATTAGAAAGGTTGAGAACCACTGTGTTAAAGAAATAATGACAAAAAACTTTCCTAACCTGGTGAAGGAAACAGTCACATAAGTTCAGTAATCACAGAAAGTCCCAATCAAGATGAACCCAAAGATACATCATAATTAAAATGGCACACATTAAAGATAAAGAATCTTAAAAGGAGAGAGAGAGAGAGAGAGAGAAAAGAGAGAGAGAGAATGAGAAAGATATTTATAAGGAAGTTCCCATTTGACCTGTCAGCTGATTTCTCATCAGAAACATTGCAGACCAGAAGGGATTTTCATGAAGTATTCAAAGTAATGACAAATAAGGACCTGCATCCTACTCTAGTAAGACTATCGTTTAAAATTAAAGATGAAATAAAGAGCTTCCTGGAGTAAAAAAAGCTAAAGGAGTACAGGTTTGCTTTCAGAAGAAGAAATCCAGAGAGAGAGAGGAACACAGGTATAAAAACAATGGGAATAAATAAGTAGTGGTCCATAATAACCTTAAATGTAAATAGACTAAATGCTCCAATAAAAAGATACAGGGTAGTTGCTGTATAAGAAAACATGACCCATATATGCTGTCTATAGGAGACCCACCTCAGAAGAAAAGATTCACATAGATTGTAAGTGAAGAGTTGAAAAAAGTAGTCCATGAAAATGAAAAAAAAAACCCCAAAAAGCTGGGGAAGCAATATTCATACCTGACAAAATAGACTTCAAAATAAAGGACATATCAAGAGACATAGAAAGTCACTACATAATAGTAAGGAGATCAATCCAATGAGAATATATAATCCTCATAACATGTACATACCCACCATAGGAGCCCCTAAATATATACACTGAGTTTCCAGATTGTTATGATCTCTGAATGCATGATAATCTGGTCACTCAGTGTATATTCTACATAAAAAAAAGCTAATATGCTAATTGTCAACCAACAGGCATGCCGGCCAACCTCCCATGACCTCTACCCCTGGTCAGGGTGACCAGATCCCACCCATGCATGAATTCATGTGCCAGGCCTCTAATGAGTATATATCTATATCTATATGCACACACACACACACACACACACACATATTTTGAATGGCCATATTATTATGCATTCACAGATCATAATTATCTGTCCACTCAATGTATTAAAAAATCTTGGTGGAATTTAAGGGAGAGATTGGTAGTATAACAATCATAGCAGGGGACTTTAAAACTTTAAACAAATGAATAAATCTTTATTGTTCAGATTATTACAATTGTTGACCCATGCCAATATGGTCAATTAATATTTGACAAAGGAGGCAAGAGCACACAAAGAAATAAAGAAAGTCTCTTCAAGAAATAGTGTACGGAAAGTTGGACAGATACATGCAAAAAAATGAAACTAGCCCACCAACTTATACCACACACAAGAATGACATTCTTTAAAGTTGAAACTAACCAAAGAATGACCCTTCCCCCTCTATACACTCATTTTGATGAATGAACATATTGAAGGACACACCTAGAAAACCAATAAATATTCTGTCAAGACCCTCCCCTGAGATCTCCCATAGGTTCCCACCCACACATACAAAAATAAAAGCCTGAAGACAAAGGACCCAGCACAGGTTCTCTGGAGTACACCTATACCTTTTCTCTGTCATGAACTTCTTATTTTTTTCTCCTAAACGCTTAAGTATCCCTGTGAGACTTACAACCAGGGAGGCAGCGGGTAGGGGCAGCTAGTCCCAGGAAAAAAACAAACCCTGAAAACAAACAAACAAAAAAACAAACAAAACCTGTCTCCAAGGCTTCCCTTTTCTCTGAGTTTCCAGTGAGCTGACAACAGTCCCACCGTGGCTCACTTCTCTCACTGTGACGTTTACTTCTCATTGAATTCATGCAGCCCAGCATTCTTTCCTATAACATTGTAGAGAGCCACAGTAGCCAGCCCTGCCTAGGCTCTCTCCTGTTGCTTCTTCTACCCTTAGAGCTCCCTCTGTTTCCCTGTCCCCAGCTTTAAGAAACGTACTCTCAAAATCACCTGGACTCATGTTGTGAAATCTTTCCCACACAAAGTCAAGAACCCACACCCGATAAGTCAGCTCAAGGCAGACCCATTCTAAGTCAGGTCCCCATCTGTTAACATAGCCACCATTTTTTTTTACACCTGAAACTAATATAAAATAGTATTGAATATCAATTGTAATTGAAAAAAATATTTGTTTTGTGTTTTATGAATTTCTTCCTTTTCATGTCTGCTATTTATTTTATTTGATATATTTGAGTTGGATGTGCAAACAGTTCTCTACTGTTTTAATTTGAACCTTTAATAATATAGTATTTTCAAATTTTCTCTTTTCCTAATGTATGGGTCAAATGACATACATTTCCCTCTAAGAACTATTTAGCTAATATGTTACATCTGTAATATAGTTTAGTTCATAATATTTTATTTTTCAGTTTTATTGAAATAGATTGATAAATTAAAATTGCATATATATTTTTTGGTATATAACATGATATTTTATTTGTATACATTGCAAAATGATTATCAAAATAAAAGGAATTAACATAGGTATTGGTTAACATAGTTATAGTGAGTGTGTGTATGTGTGTGTGTGTGAGAGAGAGAGAGAATACATGTTGAGAACACTTGTCATCTATTTTATTTTTTCCTTTTTATTGAATTTATTGGGGTGACACTGGCTAACAAAATTATACATGTTACAGGTGCACGATTCTACAACATATCATCTGTACAGTGTATTGTGTGTTCACCAAACCAAATTACATCTCCTTCCATCATCATTTATTTCCGCTTTACTTTCTTTCACCCCTCCCCCACTCTCTAGTGATAGATACCATATTGTTGTCAGTGCCTATGAGTATTTTTTTCTTTGCTTAATCTCTTTACCTTTTTTACCCAGCCCTTTAATTCCCCTCCCCTCTGGCAGTTGTAGGTCTGTTCTTTGTATCTATGAGTCTGTTTTTATTTTGTTTGTTAGTTTATTTTGTTCCTCAGGTTCCACATATAAGTGAAATCATATGGTTCTTGTTTTTCTCTGACTGGCTTATTTCACTTAGCATAGTACTTTCCAGGTCCATCCTTGCTTTCTCAAAGGGCAAAATTTCCTTCTTTCTGAGCATTTCATAGGTGCCAGACACTGTGCTTCATGCTCAATGGGCCTTACTTTATTTTTTATATTTTAAGTGGTAATAACTTATACATCACTAAACTTACATGCCTTAGAGTTTTATGGGTTCCAGTTTTATGTGATGTCCCATATTCCCACCTATTTTAATTTTTAAACTTCTCCAAGGAAGTAGGTATATGATTATATTTGTCTTATCAAGGAAGAAATTTTGGTAGAGACCACATAATAAGTGAAAGTAGTAAAGGAAGAACCTAAATATGTGTAGCTCCAGTTTCCTCAGCTTTAACCATGTTATTGTAATTACCATATAATGCTTCTGTTTCATCAATGTGGTTGGCCCATCGTGGGTTCTTATACAGTAAAGGTCCCCATTCTCCCACCAGTTTCACAGCAGGGAAAGGTCATTTTCCACCTAATTTCAAGCTTGGAATGAAGAAGAAATGGATATGAGGCAAGAAGACAGGAGGGGTAAGTTTCAGGCTTCAGCATTGAAATCACATTCCTCATCAGTGATGACAGTGGTCACAGGTGTAAGATGTTTTCAAGGTGGCGATCCAGGTGATTAGTGAGGAGAAAGCACAGTGAGTTCTACCAGGAGCCTTTAAAACTCCACCTGGCTGTTCAAAGAGGCCCTATTATCCTAATCTCTGTCACACTCTTCCCCGCATAGTAATGAGCTTTCCCTCAGGTGAAGCATGGCTTTTAATCACCCATAACCTTGCACAGCAGCCTTGATCCAGTGGGCAGTGCCCTGGGGAAAGGTGCCTTTGTGCCCATTGTCCAAGAATCAGCAACCTGCTAGCTAAGTCCCTGTGATGTAAGTAAATTTGAAGATACTACTCCAGCAACCCTCAAAATAGCTTGAGTGGGAGTAGATATTTTCTTTATTCCCCTAGTTCAGAAACCTAGGCTTAAAGATGGGAAATCAATTGTCCTCAGTTTAAGACTGAATACATGGTGGGACCCGGAATAACCTTGTATGTATTTGACTCAAAGTTTATGACCTTTTCTACTCTTCTTCTCTGCTGAAGTGACCAACTCTGTCCTTTCACCTTCCTGTGTGCATTCATGAGTTCTACCTACAATGATAGCCATGAGTATAAGAGGTAGTGATATCCTACTGGCTGGGTCTACCCACTGCTCCTGTCTCTTCTGCTAGATAATGATGTAGATCATAGATGTGTTTCTTGAAGGAGTCATAAGCCATTCTTTTGGAGAAAACCTAGATCTAGAAAAAAATTGAAGCTGAAATTTCAGTAATATCCCCAAATTTTCTAGGTCCTCAAGTTTCCATTTTATTTATTCAAGTATTGCTATAGACTCCAGTTGGAGGATGATAGGAGAAAAATAAATAGAAAAAGTTATTTTCATTGACTACAGTTTCAAAGTCTAATAGAGGAGAATACATACAAGCAGTCATATAGAACATGCTGAAATATGATGACAATTCTGGATAGGTCATGATAGTAGAGAACAAGACGTGGTAGTAGTTCTGTTTTGGGAGAAACATGTTGTTATCAATGTTTCTAGAAGAGAATAAAGAGTTAAGGGAAGCAAGTTTAAGCAGAGAGAGAAGCATATGTACAAAATCTTATTTTCCAGAGAGTTCAAATCAATAATGAGTAAGTGTGTAGTATGAGGTGTAGGATGTTCTGGGGGAGAATGATAGGAGATGAAACTGGAAATGCCATGTATGAACATGAAGAGCAATGAAGTCTGTACTGAAATATTGGCTAGGATGCTTTCAACCTTTAGAAGGAGGCCTTCAATCATTCCATATTATTGGCCAGTTGTTTGGCAATGATGCCAGAGGTGAGTTCAATGATTAGCTTTGCATGAGAACAGTGACTGGCCATCAGTTTGGAGGATGGAAGTGTATGTGTGTGAAAGTAATGCAGTGATCAATGGGAAGGCTACTGCAGTAATCCCAGGGCAAGTCATAAGAGCTGAATCTTTCCAGTCACAGTGGAGATGAAATGATGGCACATATTAGAGGTGGTAGATGCACGTGGACATATTAGTAACTGGATGTTACTAATTGGTAATCAAGTGAAGAAGGAAAAGGATTTTGTGATGGCATTCATGGATTTGTGTTTATAATGGAGATAACCCTTTTAGCAATGTTTTCTCCCAGTGTTTTCTCTGCATTATATCTTTGGTCTCTAATGAGGTCAAAAGTGAATTGACCCCAAAAGACACCAGCTAAGCTCATATTTTCAGAATCAGAAGGACACTAGCATGACAAAGGTGCGGAAAAAGACATTTGGCCCAACTCTGTCATTCCATAAGTAGGAAAACGGAGACGGACAAAAACATGGCTGCCATAGGTATCCAGAAAGTGATGGCAACTGTGTTTTCCATTCTCCCCATCCAGGTATCAAGGAAGTGGGCCTGTGGCATAAATGGATAACTATTATGTGCCATATTCTCTTATTGGTATGGGAAGAGCTCTTAAGGGGAAAATCTTATGGCTTAAGGTGAGTGTCTATCCCAGTCTTTAGGTCACATGATGTAGATCTTGATCTTCCATCCTATGATTGAAATCTATGATTGAGGATTTCCAGGGAGAGCAGAAATCGGGACATTAAGGTATAGTGATAGAATACTCTCAGTAGTCAATTAAATCTGTTCCAGTTCTAATGCTTATACATCAAGTGTCTTCTTCTCTGAAGTGAGATCATAATATGGACATTCTGAAGTTGTTATAGGGAAGCTAATAAGAACATGACTAAGCACTCTGCAGGAATGCTTTTGTTTCACTAACCACATGAAAAAAATACATGGGAAATGCTTTCAACCTTTAGAGGCAGGCCTTCAGTCATTCCATATGCTAGGCCAGTCGTTTTCCAATGTGTTTCCTAGATGAGAAACATCAGCATTGCTTGAAACTTGTGAGCAATGCTAATTCTCTGGCTCTACTACAGAACCAGAAATTGGTGGTGAGGCTCAGAAACCTGTATCTTAGCAATCCCTCCAGGTGTCCCTGATGCTCTTTACAGTTTGGTAATCAGAGCTACAGGCAGATTGTGGACCCGTTGGCTGGCAACTGTCTTCAGTGATGACATTGTTCCTATCCATCTGTCCTTAATGTGTCCTTTGGACTAACCCTCACATGGTCCTGGTGTCTATCTTATTTACATCCCTATCTTGGAATTGCGGGTGCTTCAGAGATGTGATTCCCTTCCAGTGTGAGAGGAGAGAAGGTGAGAAGTAGTGAGAAGACTGACACCAAAATAAAGCCCTTTGCTTTAATGAACCAAGGATCCTATCTCAGGAGACAGAGGGTAGAATGCTCAAGGTGAAGCAGTAGTTCCTTCTGGGGTTCTCTTTGTCCCAGGTTGTGGTGATGTCATGTTCCCCCACATAGGTGTGGTTGGTGTGGTTGGAGTTGCAGTTGTACTCTTTAATTCACCATCACACAGAAGAGGATTAAGCTGTTTGCCATTCAGAACACAGCACATTTTTTCCTTTCTGCACATCCCAGTTTGAGGTTTTATTTGAAACTCTCCATTTCTGCACTGGCTCCTGCAATTTCCAGTATTTTTTGCACACTTTTTCACAAACCAACTACCTGTATAAAGGAATTATATAGATCATGTAAGTCAGAGAGCTATCATAATAGGTAAAAATGACAGTAATTTTTTGAACACCAATTATTCAAGTCCCTTACCAGTTGCTTTGTTAAAGTTTCCTTAGTCATGAAGACCTGTTCTGAGGATTAAATGAGATTTTAAATGATATATGTATGACCCTTTCTGTAACCAAAATTCTGCATATAAACAAATGGTAGGTGTCTGTTTTCCATTTTAAATGGAAAAATATGTAACATATGATTACTTATGAATATGAAATCTTTAATCAATTTTAAAAATATATAACTTAGACACACCTAAATAGAAGTTTAAAAATTATAATTTTAAAATATAAAATTCTGAAATCATTACTGTAGTGCTTCTCACTGTTATTGAAACACACATGGCTTTTGTTGGTGCCTAGTGAGATTTAAAAAATGTTTTTGCATGTTTCTGAGGTCCTACAAACTTTATTTGAAATATGTCTGGATTTGTCTTTTATATTCCTTGCAATATATATATATATATATATATATATATATATATATATATACCTCCTTAGATATATATTCCTATAACTATGTATTATTGAGGTATCAATATATTTTACAAAATTTTGAAAAGAAAACACAAATGCCAGTCTACTAGTAATATATACATTTGGGAGACATTCTGTAGAATATGATTACATATGTATACATATTATATACATATATACTAAATTCTCTCATCACATGGTATATAGCACAGAGAAGGCCCTGAAGAGATGCTGAAACTCTTTTCACCTTGTTCTACATTGCTTAACTCATTCCTTTACATTCCACCAGCAAATATATAGTGAGTGCCTAATATGTCAAGAATGCTGCAGGATGATGGAAATAAATAATGCATAGAAAGACAAGGTCTGAAAGCTGATTTTGGAGAAAGAGAGAAAGAAGAGAGAAAAGTAAATGAATAAACAGAGTAACTACAGTTTGTGTTAAGTGTAGCAGATTGAAAAAAATAATGTGACATAGCAGAAAATAATCATTATTATTTTACCAATACTATTATCAATACTATTACCAACACTATTATCCCTTGTGAACTGCTTAATCCTCTCTGAAGATTAAATGAAATTTTGCATACTTAATATTTATATACATGTTTACATACATAGATTTCTAGGTATATGTATGGGTCTCTCACATCCATTAATATTACCAGAATTCTATGTGAGGGTCATTGAGGAAAGTATCTCTCAGGAAAATGATGTTCAACCCTAGACATAAAGGATGAAAAATCTTTAGCTATATGTCAATCTAGAAAAGTGTTTAAAGAAGAAGGAATAACATTGAAAAGGCCATGAGCAGGGGAAGACTCATACTTTTGAGGGACAGAAAGATTTCTTGACTTCTTTGTTTCATGATTTTCTTACTCTATTTCCTCCTTTTCTTCTTTTGTATCTGCAAGGGTTCTCCATAATGGTCCTCAGGCTTCAAATTACTCTGAACTTTCTCCACAGTCCCCTTCTTCCTCAGAATCCCAAATATATCCATAAAGATAACAACATTCAAATGTTTTTCTTCTTGGAGTGATCTATGTGAATGGAAACCACAGATCAATGTTCCCTCCTTTCTATCCTGATCTTCTGTGGCCACTGGCATTTTATTCATTTTTCTTTCCAAATGTTCTTTCTAAAGCCTCAAGATCTTGGGTTAGACTTAATTAATCTTACAGAATAATCCTGAATTGCTTATGTTTATATAGAAAGAAAAACTATGGGGTTTTCTCAGGTTCTTTGGTTTAGAAAGGGGACACCATGTAAGTATGTGATGTATGTCATTCAAGTCCTAGAGACAGAGTGAGAAATCATGCAGTCTAAACGCATAGAATTTCAAGGATGGAGTAGATCTGAAACAATTTCTGAGACAACGCTCATATTGTTATTAATTTTCTTTTGAACAGTTCTGCAAATTCTAGAGAACATTCAGTACTATCAATAGAGTCAGCTATAGAGATATTTTTTAGTTTCCGTTAAGAAATTGTACCTCAAAAAAGATTGATTCTCACTGTGTGCCATTTATAAAATATGAGAATGTGTTCAATGTAAAAAAAACAACAAAAAAAAAAAACACACCGCAAATAATAAAACCTATGAAAGAAGTTTTAGTAAGCAGAAGTTGATTCAAATTATTTAAGCTATTATTTACTCAGGAGAATTGTCAAAAGTGGCAAATCTCTCAATGAAAAGTGAGATAAGGAGAGAAACACATTTTTAAAATATTGATGAATTTGCTTTCAGTGAAGCTAGGAAAGCAAAATTATAAATAAACTACTTAAACTTAAAAAGAAAACAAAGAAATCAGTAAGCATGGTGAAATAACTGTTAGCATGCAGAACTTTTTAAGTTAGTGGAAGACTACATACAAAATACCAGTATATTTGCCACATGAAAATGCAATTTTTGTGCCTCAAATAAATTAATACATTTTTTACATTATTCTACCCATATATTAGAATATATTTGCAAGAAATGTGAAATAGAAAGTTTGAAAACAGGAACAAAATAGTATCACTTGGCTATACACTATATGCTAGTGTTTTTGTTTTTTTTAAATCACCTTTTGACAAACCAATGGAACTTCTAAAATTTACCAATATAAGCAGGGGATCTTACAATGTTATATTAACAAAGTTGTACAATGTTATTTATAATAGTAACACACTGATAAAAACAATTCAAATAACACTCAATAAGGGGCTGTTCAAGTTATTATTGGTACAAAAATGTGACAAAATAATAATCATCTACTGTACATTGTATATTCAAGGAATACACAAAGACCTGGAAAATCTTCCTGATATATTCCTCTGTCAGATTTAAAGTTTAAATGTTTAAAAATGCAGATTATAACTTGTTTATCAGTTGGTCATGTTTTTTAAAATGTAAGCATTTTACTAGAAATGGTGGCCAATTTTTTATTTCTTAGATGCTTTCAGTGTTCCTGTCTTAATTGTGTAAATAGAAACTATGGAATTAATTAACAAGAAGGAATGCTTATAGAAGCAGAGCTGAAATCTGACACAGGACTTCCAAGAGGCTTGACTCCCCCCACCTCTTCACTCAGAATATTTTTCTTTCCTTTTCCAACTTAAGGTTCTATTAATTACATCCAAGAATTTAACAAATGGGAAATGTTCTCTGTAAGACCAAAAAACTGGGAGAAGTAATATTTTAGAATTGTTACCATATAAAGTGAAGCCAGGCAGGGCTGGACTGCACTGGCTCTAAGTGATAGCACAGGGAAGTTTGGGGTGTCATGATCATGTCAGTCCTTGGCTTCTCATTATTCTCCCTCACCTCCAGTTATGAACATTGTGAGAGCCTTGAGGTCTCTTAGTAGTGTTTTGAAGAAGTAAGGCAAACCTCAGCCCCGCTCCTGTGGTAGCCCTGCCCCTACTCCCATAGCCAGTTTTGGAAACAGGGACTCCATGTGCAGGACTCTGTCCTAAGTTGGTGTTTCTTCTTCCCCAATATTCTATTTACCTGAGACCAACTGAGCCAGGAGCAAAAAAATTGCAAGAGCCAGTAATAGGTTCTTCATGACTCCTGAAAGATAGTAGGCAGGCAGTGGGTTCTATGGAGTCCAGAACTGTCTATTCAGTGTGACTGAACATGGGTCTTTATTGTCCTCCCTAGGTGGGGTTGGGCTCAGCCAGTGAACCAGAAGGATATAAGACACTGTGCCAAGCATGACTTCAGTCCATTGGCCAGCTCTAATTGGGGCATCACTATTCAAGAGCTTTGTTCTAGGCATGCCTTGGGGGAAAGAGAAAGATAAGAGAAGGTGTAAGACCAGCTGAAGTGTATGACAATTTAGAGAGAAAGACACAAGAGGAATTTTTGTTGATTTCCGCAATGCTGGATATGCCTACCTTTTTTCCACGGTCTCCTATGTTGGTGGTTCTACCAGAGTATTTATCTTATTGCATTGTGACAGTCTGTTCACCTATATGTCTCTCCCCCTAAAGTAAAATGTATTTTTTGAACACTCACTACACGTACGTTTTTTTAAAATATTAGTTCTGGGCATGGAGGAGTACCTAAGCAATTTTTTGGTGATTGAGAAATTTCCTTGGTGATACTCTGTCAACTTAGAAAATATTTTTAAAGAAATAAGTCATTGCTCCAAGATATATGTACTGTGAATCCTACAGTATCAGGAATTTACTCATTTATTCAATGACAATCATGTCATCATCTTCTGGAACATCATCATAACAATCCAATTCCTGAATTTTCTGGTGAATTTCTAGTGACTCCATTTCTTTCAGAATCAGTGGACCAAATCTTTCATGTTTAGCAATAGCACTGTCTTTAAATGAGTACTTCTTGTCAAGATAGCCTGCTCGCAGTGCATTTGCAATACTGTAGGATTCACAGTTTGTCTGGTTTGTGTTGACAACTACCGTACTACCATACTGTATACAAGTAATAAATTTCCTTTATTTTCATTTAACAATAAATGTGTACTATATTCTTCTTCATGGAAAAATACAACATCCCCTGAAAATAAGACCTAGTGCATCTTTGGGAGCAAAAATTAATATAAGACACTGTCTTATTTTCAGGGAAACAGGGTAGCTTGTGTCCATCTCTGCATTCTCTGTTCTTTTCCACTGGTTTATACGTCTGTTCTTGTGCCAGTACCAGGAAGTTTTGAGAACAGTGGCTTTGTAGTATAGCTTGATATCTGGTATTGTGATCCCTCCTACATTGTTCTTCTTTGTCAAGATTGCTGTAGCTATTCGGGGTCTTTTTTTTTTTATTCCATATGAATTTTTGGACAATTTGTTCTAGGTCTTTGAAGTATGCTGTTGGTATTTTAGTGGGGATTGCATTGAGTTTATAGATTGCTTTGGGTAGTATGGACATTTTGATTATGTTGATTCTACCAATCCATGTACATGGTATATTTTTCCATTTGTTCATGTCTTCCTCTATCTCTTTCTTTTTAGAGTCCTTTGTTTCCTTGTTTAAGTTTATTCCTAGGTATCTTATTTTTTTGTTGTTGTTGCAATGGTAAATGAGATCGCTTTTTAAATTTCTTTTTCTGTGAGTTCATTATTGGTGAATAGAAAAGCCATAGACTTCTGGGCTTAATTTTAATTTTGTATCCTGCTACATTGCCAAATTCACTTATTAAGGCTAATAATTTATTGATGGAGCCTTTAGGGTTTTCTATGAACAGTATCATGTCATCAGCGAATAAGAAGTTTTACTTCTTTTCCAATTTGGATGTCTTTTATTTCTTCTTCTTGTCTAATCTCAATGACTAGTACTTCCAGTACTCTGTCAAAGAGTAGTGCTGAGAATAGGCATCCCTGTCTTCTTCCTGTTCTAAGGGGAAATGGATTTAGGTTTTGCCCATTGAGTGTGATGTTGGTGTGGGTTTGTCATATATGGCTTTTATTACGTTGAGGTATGACCCTTCTATTTCCACCTTGCTGAGAGTTTTTATCAAGAAAAGGTGTTGAATTTTGTCAAATGACTTTTATGCATCAATGGATATGACTCTATGATTTTTATCTCTCAGTTTGTTTGTGATGTATCATGTTTATTGATTTGCAGATATTGTACCATCCTTGTATCCCCGGGATAAATCCTACTTGGTCATGGTGTATGATCTTTCTGATGTACTGTTGGATTTGATTTTCTAGAATTTTGTTGAGTATTTTGGCATCTATGTTTATGAGAGATATTGGCCTGTAATTCTCTTTCATTGTGTTATCTTTATCTGGTTTTGGTATTAGGCTGATGCTGGCTTCATAGAAGGAACTTGGAAGTGTTCTTTCCTGTGGAATTTTCTAGAATAGTCTGAGGAGGATAGGTTTTATTTCTTCCTTGAATGTTTGGTAAAATCCCCCTGTGAAGCCATCCGGCCCCAGGCTTTTGTTTGCTGGAAGCTTTTTGATGACTGCTTCAGTTTCTTCCATAGTTATCAAACTATTGAGATTTTAAGAATCTTCCTGAGTGAGTTTTGGAAGGTTGTATTTTTCTAGGAATTTGTCCATTCCCTCCAGGTTGTGTAGTTTGTTAGAATAGCATTGTTCATAGTATTTTTTAACAATCGTTTATATTTCTGTTGTTATTTCACCTCTTTCATTTCTGATTTTGTTTATTTGGGGCCTCTCTCTTTGCTTCTTGGTGAGCCTGGCTAAATCAATCTTGTTTATCCTTTCAAAGAACCAGCTCTTGGTTTTGTTTATCTTTTGTATTAAAAAAAATTGTTTTTTGTATCTATGTCATTCATTTCTGTTCTGGTCTTTATTATTTCCTTCCTTCTGCTCATTGTGGGATTTTCTTATTGTTCTCTTTCTAATTCTTTGAGTTGTTGAGTTAGATGATTTATTACCATTTTTTCCTGTTTTTTGGGGTAGGCCTGTAGAGCTATAAACTTCCCTCTTAGTACTGATTTCATTGTGTCCCATAGCAATTACATGGTTGTGTTTTTATGGTCATTAGTCTCCAGGATGTTTTAAATTTCTTCTTTGATCTCATTGACAGCCCAGTCATTATTTAACAGCATGCTATTCAGCTTCTAAGTGTTTGAATTTTTTGAATGTTTTTATTGTAGTTTATTTGTAATATTATGCCATTGTGGTCTGAGAAAATGCTTGATATGATTTCAATCTTTTTGAATTTGGGGAGACTTTGCTTGTGACCTATATGTGATCTATTTTTGAAAATGTCCCATGTACACTTGAGAAGAATGTATATTCCATGGCTTTGGTGTGAAATGCTCTAAAGATGTCAATTAGGTCCATCTGATTTAGTGAGTCATTTGGGATTGATGTTTCTTTGCTGATTTTTTGTCTAGAGGATTTATCCAGTGATGTCAGTGGTGTATTAAAGTACCCTACTATGATTGTATCGATGTCAATCTCTCCCTTAATATCTTACAGGAGTTTGTTTATTTATTTGGGTGCTCCTGCAATAGGTGCATATATGTTTACCAGAGTTAAATCTTCTTGTTGAATTGCTCCCATTAGTATTATGTAGTGGCCTTCCTTATCTCTTGTTATGGCTTTTACTTTGAGGTCTATTTTATCAGAAATAAGTATTGCAACCCCAGCTTTTTTCTCATTTCCATTTGCCTGAAAAATGTTTTTCCATTCCTTCACTCTCAGTCTTTGTGAATCCTTTGCTCTGAGGTAGGTCTTTTGTAGACAGAAAATATATGGATCATGTTTTCTTATCCATTCAGCTACGTTATGTCTTTTGATTAGTGCATTTAATCCATTTATGTTTTATGTTATTATTGACAAGTGCATGTTTGTTGTCATTTTTCCCCTTAGTGTTTGTGTTTCTTCTTTTCTTTCTCTTTCTTCTTTTCACAGCAGTCCCTTTAGAATTTCTTGCATTGCTGGCTTGGTAGTGATAAATTCTCTTGGCCCTTTTTGGTCTGTGAAGCTCCTGATTCCACCTTCAATTCTGAATGATAGCCTTGCTGGGTATAGTATTCTTGGATTCAGTCCCTTGCTTTGCATCATTTTGTATATTTCATTCCATTCCCTTCTGGCCTGGTGTGTTTCTGTTGAGAAATCAGTTGATATTCTAATAGGAGATCTCTTGTAGGTCACTTTCTGTCTCTCTCTGGCAGCCTTTAAGATTTGTACTTTGTTGTTAGTGTTTGCCAATTTAATTATGATGTGTTTTGGTGTTGGTCTTTTGGAGTTCAACTTGTGTGGGACTCTGTGAACTTCTTGGACTTACATAGCTTTTTTCCTTACCACTATCAGGGAGGTTTTCTGCTATTATTTCCTCAAACAGGCTTTCTATTCCTTGATTCTCTTCCTCTCTTTCTGGTATCCCTATTATGAGAATATTGTTTCATTTTGTGTTGTCCCAAAGCTCCCTTAGACTCTCCTCTTGCTTTTTAAGTCTTCTTTTCAGTTGCTACTGTTTTTTTTTTTCATTTTTTTTTCTTCTTCTTACTTTGTCTTCTAATTCACGGATGCAGTCTGCATCCTCTTCTAATTTACTGTTCTTTATTGTGTTCTTTATTGTAGCTATGTCATTCTTCATCTCCTCTTGGTTTCTTTTCATGTTGGTGACATTCTCATTTAGCTCCTTATAGGTCTCATTGAGTTGTGTGTTTGTCATCTAGCCGTTTAAACATCCTTATAACCATTACTCTGAATTTTTTCTGATAAGCTGCTAGCCTCAATTTCATTTAACTCCCTTTCTGGTGATTCCCCTTTTTCTTTCCTTTGGGGATTACCTTTTGTCTTCCCATGTTTTCCTGTAATGTTTTAATTTTAGATCCAATTGCTTTGCTACCCAGGTTCTTTTGGGGATGGTGCTACTGGTGTAATATCTCAGTTTTTTTGGGCTTGTTAGTCTAGTGTAGCTCCCTACTTGAGCTATTTAGGTTATTTTGATGTAGGCCTGCAAGCCTGAGAGGCACAACTGCAGTGTCTAGAAGTCAGCAGCGGTGGAGAGGAGTGTCCCAATTTTTGCTGTCTTGCACCCTTAATTGAAATCACGTGTGCCCAGCAGGGACTCACAGTGGCACCAAGGAACCGTCTTTCGAGGTGATGT